GCCTTTTGTCCATTAAGTGTGATATCTCCCACATATTCTGAAATAACAATTAAACAGTTATATCATTCCATTGGATATTACTGATCTCGTAACCATTGCCAAAAAAATAAAAGGCGTAGAGCTTAGATATTTGGCATGATACTTTGTTAAGTGAATCTCTGCCAAGATTGTTCAAATTATAGCCCTGGTGTCAAAATTAATCACTCCCCGGGGGTCATTAATTTTCATTTTGTACATATAGAAAAAATTTAAAACATCTTCTTGTCTGAAGGAACAAGGCTTAGAGCTTTGATTTTAGCTTTATAATATCATCCATAGGTCCACTACCAAAGTTGTTCAAATTTTGCCTCTGGTGTCAAAATTGGCCCTGTCCGGGGGGGGCGTTGATTTTCATTATGTACACATAGTAAAAACATAAACTTAAACAAATGTTATATGAATTGAAGAAAGCTACAGCTTAAATATTTGACAAGAAATATTGTTTGGTGGACCTGTATCAAGAGTGTTTGAATTTAACCCTTGGGTCAAATATTTGCCTTGCCCAAGGGGTCAGTGACCTACTTTCTTGTCCTTTGATGAACAACCATTAAATTTGGACTATGTGCACAGTTTTAGTTGTAAAATTGAACTTTGATCTCAGGTGACCTAGATTTTGATGATGTGCAGCTATGAAATTTGAACCATGTGTACAGATTAAGATGTAAAAATGTAAAATGAAATTTGATATCACCTGGCCTTGACTTTGACAAAGTGTCTTACTGTGTTGTCCTTTGATGTACTGTCATGGAATTTTGGTAATGTGAAAACCACCAAATTCACTATACTCTGCATTGGTAGATTTCTACTCTGATCTTTTTTTTTTAATAACAATAGATTTAAGAATTAGAAAGGTCAATGATCTATGCATTATGGCAATCTTCAATTGTATAGAAACAAAAAAAAATCTGTTCCTACATTACTACAAAGTATTGTATTAATGCGGTGACATAGCATTTTTCACACATGCAATCTTGTTTATACAGCAAAGCAAACATAATTTGGATCATTGATATTTTTTTACTAGTGAACACAGGGCCTGGGGTTTTTCTCCACCGCTAGACCTTGGGAGCTATCACATGACCTTGGCATAGTGACGTGAAACAACAACAAAACCGAAAACCAAAAATAAACAAAAACAAAAAAACTGCTGATAATCATGAAAGTGTTTAAATGTGGATTATGTAATGTAAATTTAATTTCTGTTCTTCATCTAGTGGTTTTGAAGGTACAATACTAATGCCATTTTAATTTTCTTTTTGACGAGCATGCTAATTAGGTATTTCATACAATTATGAGTTATATTGTTAAAGTACCATATACTAAAGTACAGTCTGTTGTTTTATATAGATTCATTTAAAAAAAATTGTCCTTTCGTTTTCTAAATTTTTGCAAGGCTGAAGAATAAGGTACATGTAGTTTATATTGTAAGTTTGTTGTTGATATATTGTTGATATAAGTGAACCATGTCATTTTTTTCAGATCATGCTTTTATTTGTGCAAGTATTTGGGATACATTATTAGCACTAACCAAAAGAGTTGCTGTTTGTCTTTGATCACTGTTGATTATTTATATTAATTTCTATGATATATATTTAAATAATTGATTTTAATTGTTGACATATTTGTCTTGTAATTATTTATTATAATAATAGAAGCAATGGTAGTGCTGTTTCAACATAGTGCAATGATTGAAAAAAAATAAGATATAAAATCGTATGCCAAAACAGTTTCCAACCAAAAACGTGATACCCATGCTATGACTGTCAAACTTTGTTCTTGTGCCGTAGGCGACCCCTATTGTTTTTGGGGTTTAGAGGTAAAGGTAATCAATTGATATTGTATGCCAAAACAGTTTCATGCTGTTAGTTATGTTTATATTTCTTTTTTCAATTAGAGAATGTTAAATTTGTGTTTCTTCGCTATTTTACAATTTCCTAGTGGTTGCTGAATTAGTTTTGTTTTTCTCATTCATTTACACCTACAATTACATAGTCAGTTTCTCTCTGAGTTACATGATGGTTACTTATTTTTACCACCCAATAAGGTAGACTGTTTATCAGTTTGACATTTCTTGTTTATGTACATTTTGTTCGTACATGTATTAAATGGTTCATTATGTATGAGGTTGTTGGTCTGATCCCTGGCAGAGGCATATCAAACCTCATTTAAAGAAGTAATAGTAAATGAATTTTCAGGATAGATTTGAGCTCAGCATTAAGAAAAATGATAGCATAAACTGAATGAATAGGGGCGTCATTACAGTGACTTAACCATGTAAATCCAGTTTTGGGAATACAAGTGCGCACTCACGCACGAACACCCTGTATAGCAAGTCAAAACTGTGTAGGACTTCAAGAACAGTAATAACTAGAGGTGTAAGAAACCAGTAAACAGCTTATTTGTACTGATGTATGTCATATTTAGCAAACTTGACAACGAACGTATTTTTTTATCATACTTACATATATAGCATTTAGGTCCCTTGGCACTTGTAAACTCTAAATACGACACTTTATAATGGTATCATGTATTAATGGAGCTGATCGTTGCTATTGACGCTTTATCAAATTTTAAAACAAAACGTCAATCTTCAATTACATTCACATAATAAATGGGGCCGTAGGATAAAGAAATACTGAAAATAAACCAGTTGGATAATAGGCAATTTAATACATAGCAAACAGTTTTGTACGGATTCTTTACAATGCGAAACGACATGTCATTGATTCAAAGGCATTTTTATCTGTGAAACGATATGTTTTAACGTCATGAATTTATTATGATTTTTAACTATATCTTGTTTCTAGACACACATTTTTAAATACAATTATTCAGAACATTAAAATTGGCAAAGCAGTTAATTATACATTACTTCAAAGGCCCATTATGCCTTACTGTAGACATGTTTTTATATTTATTTCTCAAAAGCTTTTAATATTTGATCTACTTCTATAGTTTCCAAAAATTACTTATTCGCCAATTATCTTAACCATCTGTTTCCGCTGATGAATTTTCGCAATTAGTACAGTTATAGTGATTTAGTATTTTGTATGGAAGTCAAAATGCTATTTTTTTACATTTTGCTACTTTCGTGACACATATTTTCAAAATAAAGCGCTACTTTTTTCAGGTAACACGCATCTGGCATCCTCCAAAAGCATTATCTAAACGTTATAACACTCCTGTTTGCCATTTTTAAGTAGTAAAAATTAATTCGTTTCTTAGGCTCAATGTGACTTTAAAACTGTTAGATCTACATGTAATTATGTCAACAAATAATAATATGATTTTCAACTGATTACTGCTAAGGTAAACATCACGAGTATCGTTTCACACTCGTTCTCGTCAAGGCTGTCCTTCCATATTAATTAATGTAATTTCAAATTTTCTAATGAATCGTGATATATTTACCTTAATATATCAGCAAACTATCAATCAGTCTAGTATATCGATTTATAAAAAATACATTTCATTTTGTAAATGATTACTAATAAACACTATACTTAACATGACTGCAAGTAAATTTGCTTATAAAAATAGTAATTATTAGTCCCCTACCGGTTTAACCGTAGGGGACTTTAGGTTTACGGCCCTCCGACCGTCTGTCCGTCTGTCCCAACGTCCGTCTGTCTGTCAGTCAGTCCGTCCGTCCACAAAACTGGATCCCGCGATAACGCAAAAAGTACTGAAAATATTTTTATGAAACTTGATATATGGATTAATGGCAGTATGGAGATTATGCGAGTTTTTTTTTTGTTCCTATGTTGAAAATTCTGGTTGCAATGGCAACAAAAACAAATAGTCTGAAAATATTGCAAATTTGACACATAAACTGGATCCAGTGATAACTAAAAAAGTACTAAAAATATTTTTATGAAACTTGAAATATGGGTAAATGACAGTCTGGAGATTATGCACATTGTTTTTTTCTTCCTATGTTGAAAATTCTGGTTGCTATGGCAACAAATAGCCTGAATTTCAAGATTTCTGATTTAAATTTTTCAGCTTTTTCACTATATGTTCTTTATTTCTTAAGGTGTTTACTTCAAACTTTAAATATAAGTTTCTGGTCATCAACCACATCATATGTGACAAGGTTTATAACTCTAGCACAAAAAATATCAGTATTACCTCCCTTGAACTTAGATTTTTTAGTATTACCTCCCTTGAACTTAGATTTTTTAGGGGAAAAAATGTTGTCTTTTTTAAATAACTTCTTTATTTCCTAATGTATCTACTTCAAACTTCATATATATGTTTCTTATTATCACTCGACATTTTTGAGAAGGTTAAATACTCTAGCAAGACTATTTCCAGAATTATGTCCCCCTTGAACTTAGATTTTCTTTGGAGAAACTGGTATTTTCACTCCAACTTCTTCATTCCTTATAGGATTTACTTTAAAATCCCACATCGTAATAATATGACAAGGTTGTATAAACATAATTTCCTTACTAAGCATGGAAACTTAACATATTACTGTGATATAGACAAACTTATTTTATTATGTTTTGTGGTTGATATTTTCAAATACAGACTTCATCCTCAAATTCATTATAAATGGCAATACACAGGAGTGTATGACAATTAAAGAACTTTTTGAGGGACCGGTAGGGGACTACTGTATTGCCCGCAATACTATCAAATACTTGTTATTATTATTATCAACATCATCAATTCTATGTCTTAAGGACACAAGTCCAACTTATTTTACTTTACGATGAGATATTGTGCTGGTTCGTATGGGCAATATCTCACCTCTAAAACCAGAACAAAATTTCTAAGAATATAGCTTTGGCACGTCAATATATTTTAAGTATCAGATGAATATTACAAAGTACACATGAAAATGAAATACGACGTTTTAAAAATCAATATTTGTGAACCCTACGCAGAGATATATAATATTTGAAAAATTTTTAATTAATATGCGCGCATGCGTGAAACAATCGTTAGTGCTGGAATTGTCGCATAACAGAAAAAGATGTCTACCAGCGCGGTTCTATTGTTTCAGTTCTTATTTTATTATTTAGCTGAAAATATTAATGCTGCCTTCGTGGACAACAAATTCAACAAATATATTGAGCTATCGGATTTTGCTGGGCTAAATTGTCCCGCAGATAAAACCTTGTTTAGCTATGCCGACGGAGGGGTTGCGCTGTGTGCTGCGAAATGTTCTAATACTCCCTCCTGTGACGGCGTGTTCGACCTGGCCGACAACAAATGTTTCGGATGTAAAATGCAATTCTCAGACAAAAATTTAGCCCCGACATTGGAAGGAACGAAATATTATCGGCGGCAAAGTAAGTATTTTTTTATCTTGTAGCAGTGATGTAATAGAGATTTAAAATTGAAATTTGAAAGTGTGTTTTGTTGTTGTTTTTTTGTCAGGGCATTCATTTCTAGAATTTTACTATAAAACGTTGTTAGTTGTACTCAGGTGCCCGTTCGTGTTTTACATAATGCATGGAGGGGCCGTGAGGCCTTCCTCAACCAGGAAACCTGAAAATTCGCTATATTAGTATGATTATTACTGTGTTGGTGCGACGTTGAACCTAACCAAAAAAAATTTAAAAAAAACAACAAAGAAAAAACAAATATACATATATTGTCTGAAATAAGCAAATGATCCTCATGTAATTTCAGACTATGTCGTTGTCGAGAACAACTTAGACTGGGACGAAGCAAAGATCAACTGTGAAAGTTTGGGAGGACATTTGGCAGATATAAAATCTCTAGAGGAAGAAATGTTTATAGAAAAATACGCAGTTCAATCGCATGCTGAAAATGGACTCTGGATCGGCGGTACCGATGTGCAGGTGGAAGGGACATTTCTGTGGTTAGACGGAACCAAACTTTCTGATTGGTATACCAATTGGAACCCTGGAGAACCAAACAATAACAATAGATATTCACAGTCAGAGAACTGTTTAAACTTAAAGAGTGTCGCAGGAACCTGGAAATGGGGTGACGTAAATTGTACCAACGAAAATATGAGCCTTTGTGAATATTATTAAGTCGAATATGGTTTGTTTAGATCTGACAATCGCATCTTCTCGGCCCTTATAAGGACCCCGAATACAACAGTAAAAATACAAAGAATGGATAGGGTATTTCGATCTAACATATCCTAAGAAACTTATCATGGAAACAAAAAGTATTTTAATACGGGGGTTGTTGACTAAGTTTATTATTATATTTCGAGTGTAGAAACCGAAAGTACAAAATGTCTACCTGTAGATATTAATTCGGCTTTGTTTATTATTTTATCATCAGTGGACAATTTTAATTGATTATGATTTTCAGACATATTTTTAATCATTACTTTACCAAACTAGACTTTATCTAAATCCACGTGGTAAGACTACTTTAAATCTGCATTTAGTCGGCGGATATTATGGAAAAAAAGCCGATGACGTTCCGATTGTAAAGCTCAGAGAATATCTTTGGAATTTCAGTAATATTTTTGGAACTTTTGGTATATCAGTGGAACTTTGGGTATATCTGTTAAACTTCTGTTATATCTGTGGAACTTTGGATATGGGTATATTTGTGGAACTTGGGGTATATCGGTGTGACTTAAAAAATGAATATGGGTATACTCGTATATGTGTATCTCTGTGGATTATTGGTATATCTGTGGAACTTTGGTATATCTGTGGAATTTTGAATATATCTGTGAAACTTTTAATATGATTGTGGAACTTTAGGGCTATCTGTGGAACTTTAAATATGTCTGTGGAACTTTAGATATATCTTTGGAGCTTTGAATATATCTATGGAACTCTAGGTATATCTGTGGAGCTTTGAATATATCTGTGGAACTTTAGGTATATCTGCGGAGCTTTGAATATATCTGTGGAACTTTAGGTATATCTGTGGAGCTTTGAATATATCTGTGGAACTTTAGGTATATCTGTTCAGCTTTGAATATATCTGTGGAACTTTAGGTATATCTGTGAACCTTTGAATATATCTGTGGAAATTAAGATATATCTGTGGAGCTTAAGTTATATCTGTGAAACTTTGAATATATCTGTGGAGCTTTGAATATATCTGCGAAACTTTGAATATATCTGTGGAACTTTGAATATGTCTTATATATCTGCGGAACTTTTGATATGTCTGTTGAACTTTAGGTATATCTGTCGAAATTTAAATATGTCTGCGAAACTTTGTCTGTGGAATTTTAGGTGTATCTGTGGAATTTTGAATATGTCTGTGAAACTTTAAGTATATCTGTGGAGCTTTCAATATATCTGTGGAACTTTAGCTATATCTGTGGAGCTTTAAATATGTCTTTGGAACTTTAGATATATCTGTGGAACTTTGGTATATCTGTGAAACTTTGAATATGTCTGATGAACTTTAGGTATATCTGTGAAACTTTGAATATGTCTGTGAAACTTTAGGAATATCTGTGGGACTTTGAATATGTCCATGGAACTGTCGGTATATCTGTAATATAAATAATTTAATTTGTTTAATTTGTTAAGACAATTGAAGAAAAACACTGGTTTAATTACGGGCTGCCTTGAGATAATTTCAATTGAAAGTAAGGCAAATTTTACCTTTACTACGCAGAAGTGAATGTGTGCGAGTGAATGTACGAATTTCTTTAGTAACAAGTTTTTACATTTTACATTTTATAGGCACATAATGCCTTGGAAAGGAATAAATTAAATTCTTCCTTTTCTTAACAAAGGGCAAACTTGTGTTAATAACGTTTAAGTGATGGTTTTAGAACATGTTTAACTTGATGATATCTCTTAAGGAAATTACGATGTATGAAACATTATTTGTCATAAATATCAAAATGTATGTAGTATTTTAGCTTCCATGCAAAAATACTAAATCACTATAACTATACTCATTGCCAAAAAAAGCAAAAGTGGCAACAGATAAATCATAAAACTTTTTTGCTACTATATCGAGGAAACAACAAATTAAACGATTTTGATAAAAAAATAAATAAAAGCATTTCTGGAGCATTATTGAAAGCCTTTAAAAAGTAACGAATTCTTTAAGTTTTATCTGATTGTAACAATAAATTTTAGTGTATGTGCAGCGAAGCAAATTGGGGACTTCTGACAATTGTAAATTCTAAAACTTTACGAGACTTTAAGTTTAAAAAATAATAAAAAATACTAAAACATAAAATAAACACTTTACTTTATAAAAAAGCGGAACGTAGACCTTTTTGGAAAACATTTACCAGTACACTTTTAAATTTCTGCAATAGCTCTGTTGCAACTTGTTTTGAAACCGTTCATATTTTCGCTATGATAATGCTACACTGTATTTATATATTTTCAAGGTGGTTATTGATGTTCTTTGTTTTCTAGTAATCTAAATAATAAATGTCTTTTTTCCAGTGATTGTAACCTGTAAGTTATCTGCAAGTAATTTGTGAGTTATCTGTAAGTCACTTCAAGTTAACTTTATGTTACTTCAGGTTTTCTGTTAATGACCTTAAGTTATATGTAGGTTACCTAAAGATATTTGTTAGTCATCGTAGGATATCTGTAAGTCATCGTAGGTTATCTGTTTGTTATCTTCAAGTTAACTGTAAGTCACCTCATGTTATATGTATGCCAACTAAAATTATCTGTAGGTCACCTCAGGTTTCCCTAAAGTTATCTGTAGGTCACCTCAAGTTATCTGTAAGTCACCGTAGGTTATGTAATAGAAATAGCATCGAAACACGAGGCTATCTGATTTGTACGAGGGGACGTAGCCCCGAGAATTAATCATATTGCCGAGTGTTTTGATGTTCTTTCTCTTTTGTATCACAGACAAACACGTTCCATGTTGTCACATTATGAAACCCAAGAAAAAAGTAACCATTGAACGAGCATCTGAATAGAATATTTCTATCGCTTTCCCTTTCTCTTTCTGTCACAATATATAAACCCCAGACAATGGACATGCTCTGGAGTACGGGTAACTAATACCTGTACTCCAGTTAACGCACTGTGAATGTATATGTATACGATTTAACTCTGACACATTTTCAACAGAAAGATCCCCAAACTATGATGATACAACATACAGTTGTATCTTAGTTTAGGGACCTTTCTGTGATCATGCCCATTCATTGGCTCATTTTTGCTGGGGTTTACTTATTGTGACGGCAGAGAGACGGACAGCGACAGAAATATCATAATTAGGTCTCCTTCAGTGTGACAACAGGGAACGTGTTTTAAGTTTGACTATGATACAAAAGAGAAAGAACATCAAAACACTCGGCAATCTGATTAATTCTCGGGGGCTACGCTCCCTCGTACAAATCAGATAGCCTCGTGTTTCGATGCTCTTTCTATTACTTACCTTCAAGGTATCCGTATGTCACCTCAAAATAGCTGTAAACGACCTAAATGTTATCTGTAAGTCACTATAAGTTATCTGTATGTTACCTTCAAGTTATCTGTAATTCACCACAAGTTATCTGTATGTTAACTGCAAAATGTTTGTATGTTACATGAAAGCAACCTTTAAAAAAAAGATGTCATTTTAGTTCTACATTGTTTCGAATATTTTACGTTGATGAATAAAACATAAAGCTTGTTTACAGAAACTGACATCAACCTTTCAATTCTGAAAACATTGTTTTAGTGCAGGTCATAAAATACTTTGGTTTGTCCTCATCAATTTTTACATAATACAAATGAATTTATTCTGAGAACAATGAATTGTAAAACGCTTGAATATTATATCAGCATATTTGAACAAAAGTATTTTGTCTGCATGACAATTTTTATATTCTATATAAGAGATTAAAATTCTAAAAATCAATAGCATGTTCACAATATGGACCTGGAATTACTAAATGAATCCATGAATGTAGAAGTATTGTGAAATTGCTATAATGTCATCTGTATATACTTTAATAATTCTGTTTTTGATTTCTTTAAAAAGCTAAAAAATAATACATTTTGTTTATATTATCAATTAGTTGAACACCAAAATGGGACGTTCGTGGCCGAGAGTTTGAAAACAAGTCACAACCCCTTAACCGCTGTGTGTTCGAATCCCGCAAGGGACTTTGGATTTCTTTTATGTGAGTAAGCTATCCATCTCGCTGAAGGAACGTCGGCTTGTTTGTGCTTGAAATAATGCATGAAAGGACACAACTGAGGTCCCCCTAAACCAGAAAAGCTTGAGAGAATAAATATAAAAGCTGGAAAGTCGTCATATGACCACTTCCTGTGTTGGTGCGACGTAAAACCCAACAGAAAATAGAGAGAAAAAAACAGTCCCAAAACAAACAAAAATCGTCAATATGTCTGGAAATATATTACACTACCAACCTATATATAAACATACGACAAGCATATAGCTGGTTCCAACATATTATTCACTGCTTAATATGTTATTCTGTATATCTGAATAATGGCTATTTTGCGAAATACTTGGTTGATTAGTTTCATTCAGCCAGTTTTCAAAAATAAAGGCGCTTTCCTAAATTCAGGAATCTGCAATCCTATCAGATTTTCAATTTGGTTGCTTAATATAAAGAATCTGGTTCAAAAAGTAAATGTTCACATTTTCTAATTAACGAACATAATTTTACAAGAGACAAATATCAAAACATGACCTGAGTCCTCTATCTTCAGCGATAAAAGACCCACTATCTACAGTGATAAAAAGAACCAATACAATATGTTTACACATATCAAGTGTGAAAATTTATAATGATGGCGATCGCTGACAATACAACAAATGACTTCATTATGCCGTCGTAAAATAAATACAAAATGTAACAAGCGTCATTCTTTCTGAATCATGTAAATATTACCATGGCTCATATGTACTGGAAAATCAGGCTGATTGTAGAGCAAAATAAAGACATCACGATCACAAAGATCGGAAACTTTTTGTTTTGTTTTGGTATAACCTAGGCTACAAAAATAATCAATGCATAGTTACTGTGAATCAATTGAACTAATTTGTTTTATAGTGTTATAAGGTATAAGGGTAAAGCTTATGAAATATTTTTTTTAAATGTATTGACATTAAAATTATATGAGCCGCGCCATGACAATACTAACATAGTGTGTTTGCGACCAGCATGGATCAAGACCAGCCTGCACATCAGCGCAGTCTGACCAAGATCCATGCTGTTCGCTTACCAACTCTGTTACAAGTAGAGAAACTGATAGCGATCAGCATGGATCCTGATCAGACTGCGCGGATGCGCAGGCTGGTCTGGATCCGTGCTGACTGCAAATCCATTATCTTGGTTTTGTCGTGACGCGGCTCATAATGTATTCGTAATCTTATGATTGATCCTTGAAGGAGTTGTCAGATATAATGTCTCTGTTATTAATTAATACTGATTTAATGATATCTTTTTCAAATTATCATATAAACGAATTATATCTCACTTTCTTCCGCTAGATGTTGCTATATATACAAATGTAATACAACAGTCAAGTGGTAGAACTACTTTCAACCCGTATATTTTTTTTATTTTTTTGTTGTTTTTTTTTTTCTTTGGAAAAAAACCCAGTTAGCAGTTTGGCACCGTGAAATTTACAAACAATCCCTTAAAAATTATGCAAACTAAACATTTCTGAAAAATTGTACAAAATTTTTTAACACTAAAGAAAAAAAACAACAACAACAAAAAAAAGAAAAACCGCAAACACATCAGAGATCCTTGAGAGAAATTTATGCTTGAGAAGCAATGTATGTAACAATATAAATATTTTCACAACACTAGCTTCACAAGGTCAACAGTCAATCAAACAAAACCTTGAAGTGCATGTAACAATGCATTTTATATAAAACGATCTGTTTTAAGTAAAATTTACAGAAGAATGTAAAAGAAAGGGGAAAACGGGTACTTTAAAGATCGATTTGACATACAGAAAGAAATTTGTTCGTGCACACGATATCATTCCAACGATAATTAAATAGATCTGGAATAAGATCCATGCAGTCTTAGCCTCCAGAAGATGAATCCGGCTGCCCTGGTTGCCAATTCCTATAACCATTTGAAACTCTTGTGTTGTCTGACCATCGGAACTGATCTTGTTGGACTTTGTCGTTACCATCCAGCCAGTTAGGGCCGCTGTCTTAAAAGAAGTCAAAATGCGTAGCTAATTAAATCGAATCAATAATGCTTTCGGATGAGGTTGCCGGTAGAGTTGTCATTGACAAAAACAATATCCATGTATCGCTGATAAATTAAATGACTAGAATTTACAAAAATTCAAAACGACAAAAATTATACAGAAGCAGTTGTCAATGTCTAACACTATGCTGTTGTTACATCACAAAAATATTTCAAGATGACAGAAAGAAAGATCAGAAAAAAATCATGAAATGGGTATTCATAAACAAGACACTGAACAGAACATGTATTTTACTGAAATCATATAAACAGGAATGGAAGTAACTGACAGACAAGATAAATATCGATATATCGGTGTATCATTGATTTCTGTCATCCGATATCGCTATATATGGTGAATGATTGATATCTGTCATCCGGTATCGATATATCGGTGTATCAAAGATATCTGTCATCCGGTATCGATATATCGGTGTATCAACGATTTATGTCATCCGGTTTCGATATATCGGTGTATCATTGATATCTGTCATCTTTTATCGATATGTCGGTGTTTCATTGATCTCTGTCAAGCTATGTCGATATATCGATATATTACTGCTATGACTTGCACTGAATCAATGACAGTTCTAGTTGCAGGGTACTACATTATTTCAGCAAAACAAAATGGGCGGACATATAAACTTACTGCTAGTTGAACTGATAAGAGACCTGATAAATGATTGCTCCCCTTGTGACCTAATATCGGCAGGATGTCCACCTAACGATTCACAGCTCGACTAAATAAATATAATATTTTCCCTGTGGATACTTTTTTTTAAAAGACACAGAAATTAGAATTTTTTTTTAAATTATGGTAATGATGGTGAGTATATTATTGAGGTAATGATTATAATAATGCAATGATAATAACAGTACAGTAATGATAATAATTAAGAAAATGATAAAGTTAATGGTAATGATATTTTTTTTAACAATGATTATTTGAAAATAATATTTTTTATGGCAATGATATTGATTAGAATGGCAACTCTGGTGACAATGAAATAAAACAAACAAAGATGGTTCGATAATGATAATAATGAGTATGATGATTTAAGCATGATGATGATGAATGATAATGATGATGATTCGATAATGATGATGATGATTCGATAATAATAATGATGATGATGATGAATCGATAATAAATATTATGATGATGATTCGATAATGATTATGATAATGATGATGGTGATGATGATTCGAGAATGATAATGATGATGATCATTCGAGAATGAACATGATGTTGATCATTCGAGAATAAAGATGATGATTCGAGAAAGAAGATGATGAAGATGATGATCACGACGAAGATGATAAGTGTTAACATCTTAACACCACACAATGTTATAAAGAATGAATTATTCTTACCATTGCATTTGACCATGACATTTTGGTGGTGACAGCTACATAACATGACATTTCATTCAGTTCATGATCGCTAGAAGGCGTCTTTGAAACAATAGAAATATCCATACATCACTAAATTATTAACCAGTAAAATGGAAATAAAGCTTCCATCAAATTGAACTTAATTAAATCTTATGTTTTATTAATTGTTTTTATCAGTGATATTGAATTACAAAATGAGAGTCGATGAGAAATCAGCAAAGCAGCAGCAGCAACAAGAACAACAATAACAATAAATAAATAAAAATGACAGTATATACATTGTAGTTACTATTCAAATATATATACTGTATGTGCAGATATATAGAATGCAACAATTAGTTTAGCAGTTTAACTTAATCAAAATGTAGGTTTCTGTCCTAATTGTTAAAAATTTACTGTACAGAAAACTAAATCAAGGAGCACTCCTTGAATTTATCTTTTTTGTTTTTGTTGTGTGTTTGTTTTTGGTGGGTTTTATGTCGCACCAGCAAGGAAAAGGTCATATGTCGACTTTCAACCTTTACTGGTAAAGGAAGACCCTAGGTGTCTTTCTGTGCATTATTTCAAGCAGCAACGGGCACCTGACTAGAACCACCGACGTTTCGCAAGCTATTATCATAGCTTCCTCGTATAAAAAAAATCCAAATTCCTATGCGGGATTCGGTCCAACAGTGGTGTTTTTGTTTCGTCGCAAGTCCGGAAGTTCCACTTTATTCTAAAAAGAAGCATTTTGTGACACAGACTCACCAAATGTTGGTGTATCACTCCAGCTTCCATCAGCCTGGCACGTGATGCTAGCGTCTCCCCATAATGTAAAGCTTGAGTCACAGATAATTCTTATTTCAGAACCGTAAGTATACACGCTGCTGTCAGTAGTGCCATACGGCGGAGTTGGATCACCACAGTCTGTTTAATTAACAACGTGCTTAATTTACTTAAATCACAAACGCGTGCCGATTTTGTGACTCCGTTGTATTGCACTGCCATGCATATATT